GAGGTCAAGAGATCGAGACCATCCCGATCAACATGGTGAAACCCCGTCTCTACTAAAACTACAAAAAATTAGCTGGGCATGGTGGCGTGTGCCTGTAGTCCCAGCTACTCAGGAGGCTGCGGCAGGAGAATTGCCTGAACCCAGGAGACGGAGGTTGCGGTGAGCCGAGATCGTGCCATTGCACTCCAGCCTGGGTAACAAGAGCGAAACTCCGTTTCAAAAAAAAAAAAAAGAAACTAAGTAGTCCTCCTGGGCCCAATCCTCAGCTCACTAACGGAAACAGAGTCGTGATCCCACATGGTAGCACGCAACCCATCATTACCCAGCTATGAGGAAAAGTACCAACTGAGTCTTCATCTGTCATCTAGCTCTTTGGGAATGTAGGTCTTTGACAAGAGGCTGCACTGGACTCTGGGAATAGTGGATGGCTGGTCAAAGACATAATGCTCCTCTCGGGAGCCAGCAGTGCCTGCTCTAGGATGCTCCTGCTTTCCTCTCTCCTTGTGCAGTTAGATTCAGTCTGGGCTCTTGCGTTGTTACACAGCACTTCAGGGTAACACTAAATCTTTAGGCAATTCACGAGTATTGAGTCATTCAGCAAATTTCACATCCTATTTATTGAGTGCTAGATGTCAGAGATATCTAAAATGACTAAGTAATCTCCGGCTGGGTGCAGCGACTCATGCCTGTAATCCCAGCACTTTGGGAGGCTGAGGTGGGTGGATCACCTGAGGTCAGGAGTTAGAGACCAGCCTGATCAACATGGAGAAACCCTGTCTCTACTAAAAATATAAATTAGCTGGGTGTGGTGGTTCATGCCTGTAATCCCAGCTACTCAGGAGCCTGAGGCAGGAGAATCACTTGAACCTGGGAGGCAGAGGTTAAGGTGAGCCAAGAGCCTGGGCAACAAGAGCGAAACTCTACCTCCCCCCCCCCCAAAAAAAAAAAAAAAGACTAAGTAATCTCCCTGCATAAATGAATAAAAATAGCTAAAATATATCTAAGAATTACTATGAGCCAGAGACTGAGCTAAGTGTTTTGCATTTGTTTTATTTTTTTGAGATGGAGTCTAGCTCTGTTGCCCTGGCTGGAGTGCAGTGGCGCTCGACTCACTGCAACCTCTGTTTCTCGGGTTCAAGCAATTCTCCGGCCTTAGTCTCCCGAGTAACTAGGATTACAGGTGCCTGCCACCACGCCCAGCTCATTTTTGTATTTTTAGTAGAGAGGGATTTCACTGTGTTGGCCAGGCTAGTCTCAAAGTTCTGACCTTGTGATCTGCCCGCCTCAGCCTCCCAAAGTGCTGGGATTACAAGCGTGAGCCACCTCGCCCGGCTGCATTTGTTTTATTTCTCATGATAACTCTAGGAGGTAACCTCTTTATTTTACAGATGAGAAAACCAAGGCTTGGAGAAATTAAGTGCTTTCTCCGAGATCATACACCTAATCAATGGCAGGGCTGAGAAACTCAAGGAGAGTGCCCTGAGACTTAAGCATCCACTGCCAAGGGGATCTAGAGGAAGGGTCCCTAGTTCAGCTTGTGGAATGAAAAAAGGCTGCCTTGAGGAGGTGATGCTGGAGCCAAACTTTGAATCAGGAATTAGGAATTAGCCAATTGGCTAAGGGGAGTGAGGACAGTGTGGGGATACAGGGAGTAGCAACAGTCTGCACATGGGCGCCAGGGCAAGGAGAATGGTTTCATTTTCAATAGACAAAGGTGGCTGCAGCTGTGGATTTGAGGTGGCACGTGACAGGTTGGAAGAAGAGCCCAGGCTCTGAAGGACCTTCAATTTAGACTGGATTCCAAAGGCAATGGTAACAGGAAAGTTAACAAAATCAGCTTTTCTTTTTTTTTTTTTTTTTTGAGATGGAGTTTTGCTCTTGTTGCCCATGCTAGAGTGCAATGGCATGATCTCAGCTCACTGCAACCTCCGCCTCCTGGGTTCAAGCAATTCTCCTGTCTCAGCCTCCCTAGTAGCTGGGAGGACAGGTGCCCGCCACCACACCCAGCTAATTTTTGTATTTTTTAGTAGGGATGGGGTTTCACCATGTTGGCCGGGCTCGTCCTGAACTTCTCACCTCAGGTAATCCACTCACCTCGGCTTCCCAAAGTGCTGGGATTACAGGCATGAGCCACCGCTCCTGGCTAAAATCAGCTTTTCTTGTTGATAGTACCTCTGGCCATAGTGGGTAAGTTGCTGTGTTGAAGGCAACATGGCAAATCAGACTTAGAGTCAGATACCTTGGGTTGGAATCCATGTACATTTACTTAAAAGTTATTGAGAGGTTTCACATTTTTGAATCTCAGTTTTTAAATTTGTAGAGGCAGGGAGTGGTGGCTCACACCTGTAATTCCAGCACTTTGGGAGGCCAAGGTGGGCAGGTCCCTTGAGCCCAGGAGTTTGAGACCAGCCTTGGCTACACAGTGAGACCTGTCTCTACAAACAAATACAAAAATTAGCCGGGCATGGGAGTGTGAACCTGTAATCCCAACTATTCAGGAGGCTGAGGTGGGAGAATAACCTGAGCCCAGGGAAGTCGAGGCTGCACTGAACCATGACTGCACCACTACACTCCAGCCTGAGACCCTGTCTCAAAAATAAATAGTCTAGGCACAGTGGCTCATGCCTGTAATCCCAGCATTGTGGAAGGCTGAGGCAGGCGGATCACTTGAGGTCGGAAGTTAGAGACCGGCCTGGCCAACATGGTGAAACCCCATCTCTACTAAAAATACAAAAAAATTAGCTGGGTGTGGTGGTGTGCACCTGTAATCCCAGCTACTTGGGAGGCTGAGGTGGGAGAATCACGAACCTGGAGGCGGAGGTTGCAGTGAGCCGAGATCATGCTCTCACTGGGAGACAACGAGATTCCGAGATTCCATCTCGAAACAACAACAACAAAACAACTATGTATATATTAGCTGCTGTGTGCAAATGGGAGGTGTTGAGCAGGACCACACTTTTGGATGAAAGAAGAGCTCTCTATCTTTGTGCTTTTGCACCCTACAAACATCCTCCATTGTTTGCCTGTGGCCAGAATCTTATCAGAGACTTTTACATTATTTTGCCCAAGGTCTATCCCTTTTAAAACAGATAAGGTTCATAAAGTGCTTAGCTAAGACTGGCACACAGTAATCGCCTGATGCTTATAGCTATTATTAAGTTAGAAAATGAAACTAGCTCAGAAAAGAATAACAATTAGGCAATTATCAGCCTGTTATCACCCTAGCGTAAATGAGAAGTCAAATCCTTTCCTGGAAGCAGGTTTTGATTGGGATAAGGAAGCCTGAGATCTCAGAAAATGAAAGCAGAATCTGGGGAACTGAAGGACCACTAGGGAATTCTTCCTGAAGCCAGTCATGCCAGGAGAGGAGCAGAAAATCCCATCCTAAATAATCAGGTGTTACAAATCTAGACAGTTTAAGATGCCACAGTATGAAGGAGCTGCTGTCTTCCAGTCTGGAGATGGGGGATGAGGCTTCCTTTTCAATGTCAGAAACTGTGGAACCCTAGCTAGAAAAACGCTGTAGGGGGTTGTGGTATCACTCTCTTTCAGATACCCTTTTATCTCAGCAGGAGCATTTGGGGCTCCCAGGGATTGTCTCGAATTAAGCATCTGCTATGTGTAGAGCTTTGTGTGAATTAAAAACAACAACAGGCTGGGCGAGGTGGCTCACACCTGTAATCCCAGCACTTTGGGAGGCCAAGGCGGGCAGATCACCTGATGTCGGGAGTTCGAGACCAGCCTGACCAACATAGAGAAACCCTGTCTCTACTAAAAATACAAAATTAGCCGGGCGTGGTGGCATATGCCTGTTAATCCTAGCTACTCAGGTGGCTGAGGCAGGAGAATCACTTGAACCTGGAAGACCGAGGTTGCAGTGAGCCAAGATCCTGCCATTGCACTCCAGCCTGGGCAACAAGAGCGAGACTCCGTCTCAACAACAACAACAACAACAACAACAAAACAACAGCAACGACAAAGGAAGGCAGTGTGAAGCAGGATAGCAGAACTAGACTCTAATCTTAGCTCTGCCAACCACACTGTTCACCCGACCTCGGGAAAGTCTTCTGTGCATTTTGAGTCATAATTTTCTCAGCTTTTCTCTTGTGTGACGGTATTGAGCCTCCCCAGTCTCAGTTTATTCATTTGTAAAATGGATACTACCTATTTCACAGGACTGCTTGAGATAAGGAAGGGTACAGTGCTTAGTGCTATGTCTGGTAACTATTATTAAAACTTGATTTCTCCATGATGCCTGCCATTCTTTTTTTTTTTTTTTTGAGATGGAGTCTACTCTGTTGTCAGGCTGGAGTGCAATGGCACTATCTCGGATCACTGCAACCTCCGCCTCCTGGGTTCAAGCGATTCTCCCGCTTCAGCCTCCCCAGTAGCTGGGATTACAGGCGCCTGCCACCACGTCCGGCTAATTTTTGTATTTTTAGTAGAGACGGGGTTTCATCATGTTGGTAAGGTTGATCTCGAACTCCTAACCTCAAGTGATCCACCCACCTAGGCATCCTAAAGTGCTAGGATTACAGGTGTGAGCCTCTGCGCCTGGCCGATGCCTGCCCTTCTTTCCCACTCAATGTTACTGAGCTTAGGACGAGGCCCCTGCTGAGGGGTGGGGGTGGGAGTGATCTTGGCAGGTCTAGCTGGGAAGAAAAACCTTATCAACAAATGTCATCCAGCATAGGACACTGGGGAGCTGATCACTGGCTGCTGGTCAAAGGGCGCTCCAGTCCTGGGGAAGGCCTAGGTTAGAATCCATCCGCAGAGTTCAGTTAAGGCTGCTAATTAGATATGGCGGCTCAGATCATGTCCCCAGCCAACTTGGGAGGTGGCAAGGTTCATCCGGACGAAGGTGGCATTTAGATTTATGCTCTGTCCTTTCCTCGGCAGGGTGACCTTGGGCCAGTCACTTTTCCTCTCAGTGTCCTCTGGAAATGGGTCTCCTCATTCCATTCACCTCTCAGAGCGTCTGAGGAAGAAGTGTCGACACAATGGGTGTGAAATGCGTGGTTACGGGCCGGAGGGTGGCATTTGCGAAGTCCCGGTAGCGGGTCCCTATCCAGCGGCTTCCATTCCGGTTAAGCGGTTCCTTCCCCAGGAACCGGGGTTTCTCTCTTCGCCGCTGCTTCTCCGTCCCTACAGGCAGGACCCAGCTAACAGCAGGCTCCGAGGCCATTACCATTGTTTTTCGAGGCTGGGCGGTAGGGAAAGACTCTCGCAGGCCAGACCTCGCCTTTGGTCTCTGCCTCCGCCCCGCACCCGCGCCGCTGCAAGCCCGAGAAGCCCCCGTCGCCGATCTTTGCCGAGGAAGCGAGTTAGCCCCTGAGCGCTCCCGAACGGAGGCCGAAGACGCACCCGAGCGTCTCCGAAGAATCCCGACCCCTCTCAGTCTCCGGAAAGAGCCGAAGAGGCTTCCCACCCTCGGCCTCCCGAGCGATTCCGAAAAAGCCCGAAGTTTTCCGAGCGGCCGTCCTGCCGGACTGCTGGAGGCGGCCGCAGCGCCATGTTGGATGCTCTGCTCGTTGAGTGAAGAAAATCCGCCGGCATCGCCTGAGCCCCGCTACCGAGAAGGGCGCCGCTTCCCCCGGGGAGGGGGATAAAGATCCCCCGCTGCCGGCCCATGAGGATATTGCCGTGAAAGGTCCGGTCTCTCCGCCTCCTGCCCCCGCCGGGTCCGGCCCCCCCCCCTGGGGTCGCGTTGTCACGGAGACCGGCAGCCGGTGGTGCTGGCCCGCGGGGCGGCTGCTGCTGCCGGCGGCGGCGGCGGCGGAGGCGGCGGCGGCGGCGGCGGCGGCGTCGGGCGTGTGTGACCGGCCCCGGCCCCCTCCTCCTCCTCCTCCCAGGCTCCCCCCAGCCCCCAGCTCCCGCCGCCTCCCCGGGTCTGCCCCCATCCCGCCCCCCCCGCTGCCCCCGGCCCCTGCACCCCGGCGCGCCCGGTCCTGCTCTGGGGGGGTTGGTGGCTTCGCTTTGCCATGAGTTTACCGCAGAAACCGGCTCTGAAATCAGGCACAGCGACTGCAGCAGGAACCGGACCCGGCACCGGAGCGGCGGCGGCGGCGGCGGCAGCAGCGGTACCGCCTCCTCACCCGGCGGCGGCAGCAGCGGCGGCGGCGGCGGCGGCGGCGGCGGCGGCGGCGGCGGCGGCGGCCCCCCCTCCTCACCCGAACATCAGGGCCCTCCAGAGCCAGGCGCCCCAACAGTATCCTTTTCACCTTCCTGTAGGCGCTTCGGTTCTCGTCGTCGCAGCCCAGGGGTACCCTGCAGCACAGGGACCTCCCTGCCGACCGCCACTGCCCAGCCAGGAAAGGGGCTGCCGCTCAAGCTCCTCCTGCGTTGGGCTTGGCCGGAGCTCTTGGGGTGTCCGGCGGCAGCACTGCAGAGGGAACCCCAGACCTTCTGCAATATGTGAAAGCTAGCTCCACTTGTCCATGCTTCTGCAGCCCCTTCCTTTTAGAGTTGGGGGACCCTTCACCCCTCCTCCTCCCCTAAGGTACCCTCTCTCCCTTTATTAGGCAGAATTTGCTTGTTGCCTGGGACCAACCCTGCAGGGAAGGCTTTTCTCTGATTATTGTGAGGATTACACCCTCCTCCTCCTCACCTCCCCTCGGCGCCCCCTACAGCGGGGCACAGTGGGCTTCCCTAATTATTATTAGTACATAATAAACTTTATCAGTAAATTTCTTGTTTAAAACTAATCAGCTCGTTTCCGAGGTAAGTTGGATTTTCAGTCTAAGGTGAAAATGTACAGAAAGCAATCCCTCTGGATAATTTTTTTTAGTAATGGGAGAATTGTGATGTGGTTTGTGGTAGAACGAGATCTGAGGAAATGTGACGCTGGACGCTTCCCTGTCTTTGACCTTTCTAAAGGAAGAGGAAGTTCACTGACATTACCCATCACCCACGAAAGTCTCACTTCTTGGAAAATTTGTGTTAGGCTGAATATTTTTAATGGGCTTTCATTTACTCTTCATAGGCCTGATGTCTAGAGAGTTGCCAGGGCTTCTGGAGGAAAGTCTAGTATTGAATATTTCTAATTTCATGTTATTTGCTTGATTGTAGAATTTTGGACAGCTTTGATTGAAAAGACTTGGTGACGAGGTCTTTTAGTCAAAAACTAGACGGTGAGGGTAAAACGTTGAATTCATGAATTCCGTGGAGATTTAGAAAGGTATTGCGTACCTGAGAATAACATTTCATCATGCATCCCCTCCTCCCTACACCCACTGTATATGTGTAAATCAATAAATAATGATTGGATGTTAGATGTGTTGTGTTTTTGTATTTGTGTCATCGTGTGTTTGAGTTTTAGAGATTGTAGGGTGTGTGTTTGAGCAAGTAAGAAGCTAACTGCTGTGAGGTCCCCAGATTATTTCACAGACGGTAGTTTGATTCTTGTCTGTATAGATTACTTTGAGACGGGAAAACAATCTCCCTTAGAGTCATTTCAGGTCATTGTTTGGTTTTTGTCAAGTGTCGTTTTCTCTGTTCTTTAAATATAGTTCACGTTTTTCAATCCAGGCACCGTGGCGCAGTGCAAAGATGAATTCCATTCCAGTGTGATGTGTGTACTGATTTCATAATGTTTTTATCCTGCGTGATTCTGTTCAGTTAGGAGTTGTTCACCGATGAGAAAGTGCATTGATAAGTTCGTGTTGCTTATAGAAAACGTGGTTAGTTTTGGTCAATGTCTCTAGTTGCTTTACGGTGAGGGGAGAAGGGGTAAGGTTGACTGGTTTGCTTACTTCACGGCAGAGTTCAGTGATGGATTTCTTAAACCTATCTTAATAATTTGTCAGTTTAAATTACTTTCTAATTTCATTTTTTTACCTTGATTGCCTATACTCGGTTAGGACTTTTAAGTTTCTGAATTGAATTGTACCACCAAGTAAATTATTCGTTACCTGCATCTTTGAGCTGTTGAGGCAGTTAAACAGAAATGAAGGGAAACCTACAGTAGGTGTCCTTCATATACAAAGTAGTAAAAAACTGCAGTGCTGAATGTGACACTGCTTGGTGAATTTGGTGGCTTTTTGGGACACAAAGAGTTGTGACTTAAGTGTTTCAAGTATACTTTTTCTCAGTGCATTTCATAGAAGGATTTATAAAAGCTCTGAGTTGGTTGCAGCATACAAGTAGTTACAAAAGCTGAAACTTAATTTTCTTTTGAATAAAAAGCAGTTGTTAAAGAGCTAAATTTAAGGGTAATTTCCAATATAGATCATTTAAATCTATTTGTAGTAATATGGAATACTTAAGTTTTATGTGGCTTTAGGTTTTTACTTTACCTCATGCCATTGAAGCTAAAATTAATCTTCCTCTTGATGTGTTTCACAGCTCTTAATATTTTCTCTTTGCTTTTACACACTGAAAGGTTACAATTGCTAAAATGGAAAATTTTATTATATGAACAGCAGATGAAGTGTAGGTTGTAGATTTCATCGGAACATATACCAGTGGTGAAGTGTTATCAACTGGTAATGGGGTATTGATTAAAAAGGATTGAAATAGAGCAGTTCTACTTTTCTACCCTGAGGGAGTATGGGAGTTTGTATTTGACGCAAGTGGTCATTGTTCAATAAGTTGATAACAGTTAAGCATCTTGGCAGGAGTGCATAGCTGGAGTTGTGCTTTTCATGGCTTGAGTACATCTCCAGACACTCAAAATACATGGATATGGTTGTGTTTGCCTTGAATTAATAAGTTTTTGTTTTTTTTTTTTTTTTGTGAGTCTCACTGTGTCGCCCAGGCTGGAGTGCAGTGGCGCAATCTCAGCTCCCTGCAACCTATGCCTCCTGGGTTCAAGTGATTCTCATGCCTCAGCCTCCTGAGTAGCTGGGATTACAGGCGTGTGCCACCACTCCCAGGTAATTTTTTGTAGGGCGTCATCAGCCTCCCAAAGTGCTGGGATTACAGGCGTGAGCCACTGCACCTGGCCAGATGGTATTTTACGTTTGTAAAAATACTAGAAAGATTTGCATGGCACCATGTCCTTCATTTATACTTAGTGTTCAAGTGACAAATCAGAAATAAGAAATGTTAACAATAGTGGATTTGAATGTAAACTGGAACTTGCTTCAAAGTAGGTGTCAGTATTGCATGGTGGTACCCATAAGGCCATTTCAGGTAATGGCCTTTGGCGTAAAAGAAGCAGATGATGGCGGGCCTGGCAGAGGGCAGGCTGGAAAAAGAAAAACTCTGATATGAAAAGTGCTAAAGGAATGGAGAAATAGGCATACTTTTCATAACATAATCCAGCATGAAGTTTATAGATATTAGCGCTGTACAATATTTGCCTTGAGATATGCTCACCCCAACTTATCCTTATGTGGTTTCAAGAGGCTCTGTGGAGAATATTATCAGTGATTCTTAACCTTTTCTGGGTAACAAACAAACTTTTACATTTTGATGGAAGCTATATGGACCCTTTCCACAGAAAACTGTGCATACATAGGAACTGTTGTTTACGTTTTCAGGGGGGTTCTTGGGCACCCCTTAAAAGTCTAGCTCTTTAGATTGAAATTGCTCACCCTTCAGATAATTCAAGATAAATGAGTTTGAATTTAGGTATCCAAGTAGTTCTGACTTGAACAACTTTGCAATTTGTTATGAATACACGGTGTTCCCTCTTTATGGAAAGACTTCAGGGTGTAATTTCTGCCAGGGTTGCTGACACTGGGGAGTCTAGTTACTGTTTTGGGGCAGCCAATATAGTTAAGAAAATCAGGCAGTGGGTTCTTTGCAGGAGCTAACTTTGAGAAAGACCTGTATCAACCAGAAAATAACTCGTGTTCTTAGCTAGTTTGTCACAGATATATGACATGTATATATTAAAAACCACTATTCCTGTTGCTTTTTTTGGTATTATAGTTTTCCTTTTTCTGTATTGATTTTCAGTTTTATCTTAACAGGCTGAAGCCAATAACACTTTTTGTCTCTCTCTCTTTTTTTTTTTTTCTTTTGCCTTTCTACCAAAGCTAAATCTGAATAATTAATAATAGTACTTATTCACTGAGTTCCTACTATTCTGGGAGCCAGACATGCATGAGTTTATTTAATTCCCTGGAAAATTTTAATAAGGTAGTCGGTATTGTGTGTGTTTTACAGATGAGGAAACTGAAGTGTAGAGAAGTAATGTTTCCAGGGTTCTCCTGGTAAATTGTGGTCTGTGATTCAGACTGGTATGACTGACTCCAAAGCCCGTGAATGCCTTTTTTACTATGCTGGCTATTTCTCACCAAGCCCGTATGTGAGAATGGGAGGAAGAATACTCCTCTATATTTGAGAGCCAGGGGAAGGTCTGTATACAGAAATAAGGTTCTGTGGAGTAATCTAGAACACAGTGATACTGTACTTTGTTTTAATTAGCTCATAGCCACATACTGATAGACAAGTAGGTTATCTTTACCTTATTGACCCTTAAGACATAGGCCTGTTGATTGAATGCATGTTCCTGCTTGTTCAGAAGTTAGCAAGGCCTCAAGCGTAATACCACTATAATTAGCAACCAGAATTCTATAGCTCATTTAGTGGTCGGCAGTCTTTCTCCTCCTAAGCCCCACCATCAAGAAAACGTCAAATATTCAGTACAGATCCTCCTATAGGAGGACAGAGGGTGACAGATACAAGATGGAGAAAGTTACTCAGATGTCTGAGTTATAGCTCAGCTGCTGCTACTTCCTGTTCTAGGTTTATGAGTTTCGGAGTAAGGTATTTGCTATACCTGATCTTAGCTAGAAAGCCAAGAAGTGATCAAAGTGCAGTATTTTCTATCAAACCATGAGAGTTTAAACCAACTGAGGACAGATGCATTGATTTTCCACATTGGGGTTTCTGATAAGATTTTTAATTTTAATTTTACTTCTTTTGAGACAGAGTCTTGCTCTGTCACCCAGGTTGGAGTGTAGTGGTGCAATCTTGGCTCACTACAACCTCGACCTCCCAGGTGCAATTGATTCTCCTGCCTCAGCCTCCTGAGTAGCTGGGATTACGTGCACATAATCCCTGGCTAATTTTTGTATTTTTAGTAGAGACTGAGTTTTGCCATGTTGACCAGGCTGTTCTCGAACTCCTAGCTTCAGATGATCTGCCTGCCTTGGCCTCCCAAAGTGCTGGAGTTACAGGCATTGAGCCACCACACCCGGCCCTGCAGTCTCTACTAAAAATACAAAAATTAGCTGGGTGTGGTGGTGCCTGCCTGTA